TTTGTTAGACTAAAGAAGTTTTTTTTTGGAAAATTTATTATTAATAAATAGTGATATAGTAATAGTTATATTTTATTTTATATTATAATAAATATAATAAATATAATAGTTATAATATTAATATAAATATAATAAATAAAATAAATATAATAAATATAATAGTTATAATATTAATATAAATATAATAAATGTGATAGTTATATTTTATATTATTAATAAATAATAATAATAGTAATAGTTATATTTTTCTTTTTACTACCACAGTACCGTATGATCTAGTCAGCTTTTTCAATCTTTTTCGAATGCATTTCTACAGTGAATTCTGTCCACAAAATATACACAATGATTGCCGCGCGAATGCATTGTGATCCTCTTCATCGACGAGTGGAGCCCGAGCTACGAGTTAACTCGTCTTCGCCAAAAAGGTATCGGCGATACACGTTCCTCTCTAGCCAATTTCCAAGGGAATCTTGACTAAGATACTAGAATTATCCGCGCGATATTACATCGTGGGAGCGAGTCGCCTGTATTTTCCTCGTACATATGTTTCGCAGCCGGCACGACTTTATTTATATGAAAGTTCGCGCGATATGTTCGCGGAATCTAATTTCTCGAGGCGATCGGGCCTCGTATTAACAGGCCGGTGGAGCTCGTTCCTCGTAAACTGGGGCAACAGAGCTATCGATACTAGCCTTTTGTCAGTGAATTTGCAATATCCTGCTTTCGTCGTTGTATACCATATATACCCGTTTGCGAAACGGCGTCGATATTAACTGTCTTTCAGCTGCTGCGTGTATGTGTGTAGCAGGACTTGTTTGGGGGGAAATGGGTCGCCCCTGAGAAAAAGAATCTGTCGAGAAATGTCAGCCGCTAATAAGCCAGACTGCATCTCTGGAAACGTATTAATTGGGAAAAGTTGAGAAATTCTCGCATCCCGTGACCGTTCGCAATTTGTACGTTTGTTCTGCGCTGTAAAATTTTATCGCCCGCCTTTTTTTTTCTTTTTTTTTTTTTTTT